GGACCAACATCTACCACTACGAAGTTACGGAAAACAAGAAATCAGGTAATTTGTAGAAAATGTACTGTAAGAATTCGAAGAGAGTTTTCTGTAGGACCAGGACTGTTTTGTGTAGTTGACGGAGAGTTAGTTCTTGCTGTGGAAGGAGGGCACCTCAAGGGAGGTTCCTTGACGTTGGTGGGGGGCTCTTGATCTAGGGAATTGGATCTGTGCTCCAGTTTCCTGAATTAAACCTGAATACCTTCCATCATGCTCCCCCCACAGGCGCTGTGTAATCCTACGGGTTTAGCGCTTTCCCATGATTATAATAATGTGGTCGGATGGTAGGTTAAGTGGTCGGAGGATAGGTCAAAGCAGTGGTCGGAGGATAGGTCGGAGCAGTGGACGGAGGATAGGTCGGAGCAGTGGACGGAGGATAGGTCGGAGCAGTGGACGGAGGATAGGTCGGAGCAGTGGACGGAGGATAGGTCGGAGCAGTGGACGAAGGATAGGTCGGAGCAGTGGACGGAGGATAGGTCGGAGCAGTGGACGGAGGATAGGTCGGAGCAGTGGACGAAGGATAGGTCGGAGCAGTGGACTGAGGATAGGTCGGAGCAGTGGACGGAGGATAGGTCGAAGTGGACGAAGGATAGGTCGGAGCAGTGGACGGAGGATAGGTTAGAGCAGTGGACGGAGGATAGGTCGGAGCAGTGGACGGAGGATAGGTCGGAGCAGTGGACGGAGGATAGGTCGGAGCAGTGGACGAAGGATAGGTCGGAGCAGTGGACGGAGGATAGGTCGGAGCAGTGGACGAAGGATAGGTCGGAGCAGTGGACGGAGGATAGGTCGGAGCAGTGGACGAAGGATAGGTCGGAGCAGTGGACGGAGGATAGGTCGGAGCAGTGGACGAAGGATAGGTCGGAGCAGTGGACGGAGGATAGGTCGGAGCAGTGGACGGAGGATAGGTCGGAGCAGTGGACGAAGGATAGGTCGGAGCAGTGGACGGAGGATAGGTCGGAGCAGTGGACGGAGGATAGGTCGGAGCAGTGGACGAAGGATAGGTCGGAGCAGTGGACTGAGGATAGGTCGGAGCAGTGGACGGAGGATAGGTCGAAGTGGACGAAGGATAGGTCGGAGCAGTGGACGGAGGATAGGTTAGAGCAGTGGACGGAGGATAGGTCGGAGCAGTGGACGGAGGATAGGTCGGAGCAGTGGACGGAGGATAGGTCGGAGCAGTGGACGAAGGATAGGTCGGAGCAGTGGACGGAGGATAGGTCGGAGCAGTGGACGAAGGATAGGTCGGAGCAGTGGACGGAGGATAGGTCGGAGCAGTGGACGAAGGATAGGTCGGAGCAGTGGACGGAGGATAGGTCGGAGCAGTGGACGAAGGATAGGTCGGAGCAGTGGACGGAGGATAGGTCGGAGCAGTGGACGGAGGATAGGTCGGAGCAGTGGACGAAGGATAGGTCGGAGCAGTGGACGGAGGATAGGTCGGAGCAGTGGACGGAGGATAGGTCGGAGCAGTGGACGAAGGATAGGTCGGAGCAGTGGACTGAGGATAGGTCGGAGCAGTGGACGGAGGATAGGTCGAAGTGGACGAAGGATAGGTCGGAGCAGTGGACGGAGGATAGGTTAGAGCAGTGGACGGAGGATAGGTCGGAGCAGTGGACGGAGGATAGGTCGGAGCAGTGGACGGAGGATAGGTCGGAGCAGTGGACGAAGGATAGGTCGGAGCAGTGGACGGAGGATAGGTCGGAGCAGTGGACGGAGGATAGGTCGGAGCAGTGGACGGAGGATAGGTCGGAGCAGTGGACGAAGGATAGGTCGGAGCAGTGGACGGAGGATAGGTCGGAGCAGTGGACGAAGGATAGGTCGGAACAGTGGGACGGAGGATAGGTCGGAGCAGTGGACGGAGGATAGGTCGGAGCAGTGGACGGAGGATAGGTCGGAGCAGTGGACGAAGGATAGGTCGGAGCAGTGGACGGAGGATAGGTCGGAGCAGTGGACGGAGGATAGGTCGGAGCAGTGGACGGAGGATAGGTCGGAGCAGTGGACGAAGGATAGGTCGGAGCAGTGGACGGAGGATAGGTCGGAGCAGTGGACGGAGGATAGGTCGGAGCAGTGGACGAAGGATAGGTCGGAGCAGTGGACGGAGGATAGGTCGGAGCAGTGGACGGAGGATAGGTCGGAGCAGTGGACGGAGGATAGGTCGGAGCAGTGGACGGAGGATAGGTCGGAGCAGTGGACGAAGGATAGGTCGGAGCAGTGGACGGAGGATAAGTCGGAGCAGTGGACGGAGGATAGGTCGGAGCAGTGGACGAAGGATAGGTCGGAGCAGTGGACGGAGGATAGGTCGGAGCAGTGGACGGAGGATAGGTCGGAGCAGTGGACGGAGGATAGGTCGGAGCAGTGGACGAAGGATAGGTCGGAGCAGTGGTCGGAGGATAGGTCGGAGCAGTGGACGGAGGATAGGTCGGAGCAGTGGACGGAGGATAGGTCGGAGCAGTGGACGGAGGATAGGTCGGAGCAGTGGACGGAGGATAGGTCGGAGCAGTGGACGGAGGATAGGTCGGAGCAGTGGACGGAGGATAGGTCGGAGCAGTGGACGAAGGATAGGTCGGAGCAGTGGACGAAGGATAGGTCGGAGCAGTGGATGAAGGATAGGTCGGAGCAGTGGACGGAGGATAGGTCGGAGCAGTGGACGAAGGATAGGTCGGAGCAGTGGACGAAGGATAGGTCGGAGCAGTGGACGAAGGATAGGTCGGAGCAGTGGACGGAGGATAGGTCGGAGCAGTACGATAACACTTTGAATATACCTGTCTCCCACCTGCTTGTAAAATATTTCTGCTCCAGCTAGCAGAAAATCTAGGAGAGAACTATCTTGGGAATAGTCATTTACAATGACTTAAACTACACTTGGCAATGACTATCCACAATCAACAGAACTAATAGCATGTTAGTTTCAATAGCTAGAAAAATAACGAGAAAAATCACTAGAAATAAAAGTGGCATTCTTTAACCCAAATGTCATACCTTACCTTTAATATGCGATGCAATTTTCATTCCCAGCTTACAAAAAAATGTAATGATAAACTAGAGAGGGTGATAAAGGTCAAGACAGCACGTATCTTCATAATAAAAGAAACCCAATGAAGAGATAATTAAAAAAAATTCTTTTGCGTGTTCGGTGATCTCATTCACTTCAAGATACTAAAATAATTGACACACTGACTTGCGATAAACTATTTGTATTGCGAAATGATTTGATGACACGAAGCAATGACATGAAACTCCGCGGCAGGAGGTGCGACACGGAAGTAATAATAATAATAATAATAATAATAATAATAATAAACAGTACTGCCATATTACTGAACTAATCCTTCTTCGTCTTATTATTATTATTATTATTATTATTATTATTAATTATTATTATTAATTATTAATGTAAATGTGTCGTTGGTGTAAAAATTAAATCGTCACTATCATTCCCAAGGCAGATCTGAACGAGTCACTATCACTGACCCAGCAACACTTCACCTTCTCACTATCACCATCACTTCCCCCACACAAGAAAATCACTTTCACTCCAACCTGTCCTCTGTTTAACTCACCTGCACAGAAGTACATTTGCACTCCTCGCCCTCTCTTCCTTTTCATGTTACACGCCCCTCCTCCTCCTCCTCCTCCTGTTCCCATTTATCACATGTTCTCTAATTTTACCCCGCTGAAGCCTGATTTATCTTCCCAAAATTGTAAATGGAGGTAGGAATTATATTTGGGATAGCCATAGTGCCAAAGGGATACTGAGAAAATTAATTTGGCTGGCTGTCTTGTGTTTTAAGGATTATCAAGAAGAATTTTAAACCAATGGTGGTTTTGTTGTCCCTTGAATTGAAATGCTGGTATTAAACTTATGTATACACAGAGGCATACACACACGCGTGGTCGTGTATGTGCACATGCATTTTTTACACACACACACACACACACACACACACACACACACAACCTGAAACTAAAAGGATATACGATTCATGATGTATATAAAAAAACAGTCTGCAGTAATAAATTCCCGGGTATTATATTGATACAAAATACCGGAGGACTACAAATCCGTCCCTCTCGCCTATAATTCCCGGTTTTCTATTGATATAGAGTACTATAGTTCGTACAAATCCCTCTGTTCCGGATAAAATGTGTACGACTGTATTGTTTGTGTCAGCGTGTTGACCTTCCGTGTTGATGGTTGTAGTATTAAGTTTTGTTTGTAGTCACTTGTTAAAGATCACTATAGTGCAAGCTTTTAGTGAAAACGTTCCGCTTCCTGTAAAGCTTTATCTGGTTTAGTAAAAGTTTTCTCTGCGCCTCTGTCCGTTCTTCGGTGCTGCTGTAACCAGAAGATGGATATTCGTACTCATCTCTCAGTACACTCAGAGAAACATACATACACATGCACAAGGAGACAAGTGTGACTTGACACATTTGTGAAAAACTAGAACAGAAATCCAATAGTACTCATACGTGTTTACTTATCGTCAGGTTAGAGAGAGAGAGAGAGAGAGAGAGAGAGAGAGAGAGAGAGAGAGAGAGAGAGAGAGAGGAGAGAAGAGAAGAGAGGAGAGAGAGAGAGAAATGCGTAGTAACTCTTCCACTTAAGGCAGCCACGACTTACCTTTTCGTACATTTCTCCAAGATGGAAATGCCACGAAAATATAAAAAAAAACCTTGATATTCTCAGCTAGGTTAGGTTGGGTTAGACTAGATTACTTATATTTCGTCTAGCAGATACAACTGTAACATACTGTACGTATGTCTGGGAGGTTATACTGCAGCATGCAACTATACACACCAGTGTGACCTTTCAGTAACAGTTGCATGTGCAAGAATTTCAGTGCATCGATTACAGCAAAGAATTCCGTAAGATTTCCATTGTGATGTTTGCACCATTACTGATATTAAACACGTGAAAAAAATATCGTCAACACAAAAAAACAGGCAAATATTTTTAAGTTCCTCACCAGCCAAGCGCTAAACCAACGAGGAGCCTCGTACACATACAGCAGATGAACAGAGGAGGCGACAGTAATTCATGTTCATTTTGGTTGTTCAGCAATTGTACCAGGACGATGAGTTGAGAGCGAGGCGACTGAGTCAGCAACAGTAGTATCGCTGTGACAGTCACGGCAGAACTGGTGATGGTAATCAGAAGCTGACCCACTGGTACACACTCCTCTGTGAGTGGTAGTGGAGTAACAACAGTAGTTATGATAATAACAGTACTTCGTGGAGATAGTTGTAGGCCACGACTTTCATTTACTTCCATCTCTCCTGTAAATTCCATGTCATTTTTTTTACCAATATGACATGAAATATTGGCCCACAGACCTAGATACATACGACAGTCCTTCATGTAGATAGAACACACATAGTTATTGTTTGGTAAATGGGGACATATGCAATTAATGTGACAATGTGGTAATGTTTCTCTCTCCAGCAGCATCTGTGTGTATTTACCTACCTCTCAAGGGAGGTTCCTTGACGCTCGTGAGGGGCTCTTGATCTAGAGAATTGTATCTGTGCTCCAGTTCCCTGAATTAAGCCTGAATACCTTCCACATCCCCCCACAGGCGCTCTATAATCCAACGAGTTTAGCGCTTCCCCCTTGAATATAATAATAATTGTCTATTTATTTAACAGTTTGTGGGTAATTCTAACATTATTACTTGATAGTTCTTCTCTGCAGATAGCCTCAGTGTGCGCTTCCAAGTCCTCTGCTGTCTGTCTTTCACATGTACTCACGTGTACTCCCATGTTTAACACTGTATGGCGACCATATCTGGCTGCTGCACATCCAGTAACCACCGTCTGACAACTTGTAAAGTGACAAGACTTGGTCATCTGTGTTCTACGTTACCTTGTGTATATCCTCAATACTTAGATTAGGAAGGCCTCGGTCAAATGATCAAAGCTTCAGCGGCGGGTCATGTAACCGAGACCCGCGTCAGGAAACACTTGTCCTGTTTACCTGGAGTTTACCTGGAGAGAGTTCCGGGGGTCAACACCCCCGCGGCCCGGTCTGTGACCAGGCCTCCTGGTGGATCAGAGCCTGATCAACCAGGCTGTTACTGCTGGCTACACGCAATCCAACGTGTGAGCCACAGCCCGGCTGGTCAGGTACCGACTTTAGGTGCTTGTCCAGTGCCTGCTTGAAGACAGCCAGGGGTCTATTGGTAATCCCCCTTATGTATGCTGGGAGGCAGTTGAACAGTCTCGGGCCCCTGACACTTATTGTATTGTCTCTTAACGTGCTAGTGACACCCCTGCTTTTCATTGGGGGGATGTTGCATCGTCTGCCAGTCTTTTGCCTTCGTTTCATGACAAATCTTACCTAACTTCACAATGTTTGGTGTAATTTACATCAAATTTTCACTGTGTTTGCTTGGGTTGGGTTCCAGTTCTTGAGCTTCTTGAGGATTGATCTACAGTTCCTGTACGGGGCATCTTTTGAATTCTTGAGATTATTTTTACAGTGCCCAGTCCGGTTGACTTTTTGTTGAATTATTGTGTGTGTTTTGGTCGCTGTCTACCCGAAAAGGAGACTCCAGTTATAATACAGCCTAAGCTTCTTCCTCATCACATGCAAGTGTGACTGGTGGCTGTACCTCAAGTCAAACAAAAGGCCTAGTAGGCCTTTTGTTTGACTGAGGTACAGCCACTAGGCCACTAGGCCTCTATGAGTAGCTTTACAGCAACTCATAGAGGCCTAGTGGCTGTACCTCAACTCTAAGAAAAGAGTATCTGTACCTCAAAACCCACAAGAGATCAAGTAACAATAGCTCAACACCCCCAAGAGGAGCAGGAGCTGGAGATCAACACCATTTGAAAGTCCAGAAATTACAGTCACTCGTAGCCACTATCATCTCTGTGCTGATATATGTGTTTCATGTATATATCACAGTAATAAGAGTATAACAGAGAATTATCAGCAGATAATGTGCTTCTCTCCTCTCTGATAACATGAATGACGCTGGATAATCACTCGTTGAAAAAGATGAATGGTCATTACGGTGAATAATAATCAGAGGCGTTTTCTAGCTAGGAATGTCTGAGGACTTACGGCTGCCCGGACTGCTGTATGACTTATGGCTACAAATGGCTTACCAGGTTATATATTACTAATGATCCTTAAGTGACTTATGGTGTAGAAATTACTGTCTGACTTTGACCATTGTGGTATCTTGCTGGTAGTTCTGGTAATGTTAATAATGTTGGTACTGCTAGTACTGCTGGAGTTGGTAATCTTAGTTTACACTTCATAATGGAGAAGTTGTCCTAAATTTTAGAGTGTGTAGGTGATTGTTTACCGATCTTAGACCATGTACATCCTGGTTTAATCCTCTCGTTATGGTAGGCGGGTAATGGTGCTCTCCTCCAGGAGAAAAAAATTGCTTTAGAAACTTCCAGTCATGTTGGAATGTTATGTCCTGTAAGAAAACACTCCAGTATTGTGTAAGAAAACACTCCAGTATTGTGTAAGAAAACACTCGTCTTGTGTACGAAAACACTACAATCTTGTGTAAGAAAACACTCCACTCCTGTGTATGAAACTCCACTATCTGTTGGAAGCATTAGGTACACAGACAGGTGTCTGTGTACCTAATGATGGCAATTGAAACAAGAATTCTAGTACCGCACCATTTGTACGTGTCAGTGTTCTTCCATCGTTCCATTATTCGTGATGATATTTTTCCTCTACAATTCCTTCAGATAGTTTCATTGCTTCGAGTAACGCGTTTGTTTCATTGAGTTTTGTCTCAAATAACGCGTTTTGTTGCTTCAAGCAAGTCGTTTTAGTGAGAAAGACAATGCTTACAACGTAACCAGTTCTGAACGAAATGTCCTTGGAAAAGGAATGACTGTAAATAGTCTCTTCCTCACTATCTGGGAGCTTTCACCATCGTTCGTACAAAGCTTTTTATTAACACAAACGTGGCGTTTTATTCGCGCAAACGTCAATACAAGTTAAACGTCTTGTCTGAAAACACGAATGAGAAAGAGGGAAGTTAGTTTCACCCTTCAGCCGTTGCTCACAAGGTTGGTGGAAGGATGGAGTTGTATTTTTTCCATTATTTACCAGCAAATACATTATTAACCTTGTGTAAACACAGCGTCAGTGCAGCATACTATAACCCGTGTAAAACTTGTACGTAAATATGTAGTATTGAAACTGGTTAATGGGGCTTAAAGCCTATCCACTGCACAAGGATATAAGGCTGCACATAACTTTTAACCACCGAGAAAAACATTTTAATCCCTAAAAGAGGGATTAAAGAAAACTCTCAGCATATATTCGCTGAGGGAAATACACCTTTCAGCGTGTATATATATCCTATCAATAGTACCCAAAGAATGTCGCCTGGATACAGGACTGTTGACACTGCTAATACCTACTAGAGCGTCGCTGATCTGGCTCGACAGGAAGCAGGTGTGAACACTTGTCTGTGGCCGAGGTGTCAGCTGTAACACCAGTGTACAACACCGGTGTTAAGTGTCGTGGGTGGTGTTAGCACCAGGTGTTTGTGCGAGCCGTCACCGTGAAACCTCAGTCTTGTCGTCACGTCGTGTGTCGGTGGGAAGAAGTACCTCGCTCAAGAGGTTCTTAGTCTCCCCGAAATTACGAAATAATTTACTGTTGTTGTCATTATTATTATATTATTTTTATATTTATTATTGTTATTGGTGTTATAATATTTATTAATTATAATCGTGTTTTTATTGGGTATTATAAAAATTATTTTTATATTTATTATTATTGGTGTTATTATATTTATTAATGATAATCGTGCTTATTATTATTATTATTATTATTATTATTATTATTATAAATATTATAAAAATGACTATTTTATACTTATTATTATTAGTATAATTATAAATATTAATTATAATCGTGCTTATTATTACAGGAAACTGAGATGTAGGCTCTGAGATGTAGGCTCTGAGATGTCATGCAGGTTGCTTTCCTTCCCACAATCTCTCTCTCTCTCTCTCTCTCTCTCTCTCTCTCTCTCTCTCTCTCTCTCTCTCTCTCTCTCTCTCTCTCTCTCTCTCTCTTTAATATATGATGCTCATAAATAAAGTTCACAAGCATAGCATATAATGGATGGCAGAAGAGAATATTCAAACAGCTCCGAGGAGAAACCTGAGTTCTTATGAGTTTTAATGTAGCACTACCCAAGTGCATTTTTTACTGACAATATATATATATATATAATATATATATTATATATATATATATATATATATATTATATATATATATTTATTTATTTATTTATTTTCCACGTTCAGTCCTTTTAACGTAGAATACGTTGAGGGTTGACGAGGCTCCTGGCGAGGGAGACGCAGCCTAACTGCAAAATAAAGCTTCACCTCCGTTGGTGATATTTCTTGATATAAATGCAAGCAGTGTGTCAGCCACGTGAAAATTCATTTACAAGATTCATTTACAAGATTCATTTACAAGATAAGTGTCACAGTGGGAGGAAACAAATGGTTATAACGTCGACGTACACACTGTACACACTAGGGATAATAATCCTTAATGAGGTATTTCGACACATGAATATAGATCGCTGTGAAATTAATTTCAGTAATGCTCAGGTGTCGCTAGACTGCAACGACACAGTAGAGGAAGATGCGGGAATTCATTATTATTATTAATATTGTTCCTAATTTCAGAATTATCAACGAGAAAGTTGAACCTTTCTTTATATTGAGTCTTCTTAAATTCGACGAACCTTTGAGACAGATAATTGACCATATTAAAATAATTAAGTTCGTGATTTCCGTAAATGATTTTTCAGGTCGCTATAATCTTATAAATCTGGTAAACTAAAACTAGAGAAATTCTGTGAATAAGACACATGTATAGCACCTAGCATTGCACATGTGTCTTATTTATCAAATAATTGGCATTATATATCTTTGGCAATAGAGTTGTAGATGAGTGAACAGGCTGATGTGTGGAGTCACTGATCAGTGTTCCGCTGTAGGTAGAGTAGGTTAGGTAAGGTTTGTTAGGAAATAGGACAAGTGTTTCCTGACGCGGATCTTAGTCATATGATGACCTGCAGCTGGAGCTTTTGGTCATGTGGCCAAGGCCTTCCACTGGCTTACCCGTCCACCCTTTTAAAATTATGGTTATGACTATAACCATTTCATATCGCTGTAGGTAGGCCTGTTAAAGTAGGCTCTTTTTTTTATCCGCATACACCTATCTTGCATGCATACATATTCAAATTATTTTAGTATTGCTTGAAAAGGGTCTCCAGTTCGAAAATTGGTTATACGTGAATCAAGAGCCCTTGACACTCATCTTGAAGGGAAATAAAAACGTTTTACTTATCACCATCACAGTGAAGAC